CCTTGCTGTCCCCTCTGGGCAGGGTCTGTCCAGCTCTTCTCCACAGGGCACTGTTTCACTGAGTCCTGTTTCACACGTCCTTCTTCGTAGCCCTTTTGTCAGATGCACCGTGTGTGAATGCTTCGCCCTACTCATTAGGATGTCATTCATTTTAGATAGTTTCTTTCTTTCACAGTACAGACCTGTCTTAATTTGATGTTCTGTTTATCTACTTTTTTTATTCAATGGGGGTGACACATTAAAAACCCCTCTGAAGTCGATATCATGAAGAATTCTGTGTTTTCCTAGGCATATTCTGTGGACAGGTCTCATAGGGCAGCCCTTAATTCATTCTGAATACACTTTTGTGTAGTGTGAGATTCCGGTCTAATTTCATTAATATTTTACATGTAGCCAATGTTTTTTCCCCCAGCACACTCACTGAGAGATTTCCTTTCCTTGACATCCGTCTAGCTCCATCAACATAACTTAGCTGACCATTCATATGAGGGGTTAGTTCTGTTCCAATACTCGAAGAATTTGTTTTCAAGGTAGCATCATACTTCTGGTTATGATTACTTTGGAGTATAGTTTAAGGTCAGGGAAAATAATGCCACCCATCTTTGTCTGTTTCCTCTAAGAATTTCTTTGGCTAGTTGAAAAGTTTTATAGCTGAACGATAGCACAGCGGGTAGGGCGTTTGCCTTGCACGCGGCCCACATAGCCAACCCAAGTTCGATTCCTCCGCCCCTCTCGCAGAGCCCGGCAAGCTACTGAGAGAGAGTATTGCACCCACACAGCAAAACCTGGCAAGCTACCGGTGATGTATTTGACATGCCAAACACAGTAACAACAAGTCTTAGGATGGAGACGTTACTGGGCCCGCTCGAGCAAATTGATGAACAACGGGAGGACAGTGCTGTAGTGTGTGAAAAAAAATCTAGCAGCATTTGTTCTACGTTCGTGAAGAATACCATAGAAATCTTCCTAAGAACTGCATTCGATGTATGTGTACAAATCTACTTTGAGGAGGATAGTTACTGCACTGTTGCTCAGACACTGTTAATTCTTCGAATCAGTGACCATGGACGAGCCGATCATTTCCCATGAACTCTTCTTTTTCAATAGCGACTTGCAGTTTTTGAGGTATAAGTCTTTCACCTTCTCTCTTTAGTTCATCTCCAGATATGTAAATGGGTTTTTTATTTCACTCTCTTCTAGTTCGTTGCTTATTTATATAAATGCGAATGCTTTTCCTGTGTTTTTCAGTCTGTTAATTTACTCTTTCCATTTGTTGTTTCTTAAGGATTTTTGGTGGAGACTTTTGGGATTTTTTTTATGTATATCATACAGTGATAGTTCAAATAGTGACAGTTCAAGTTCTTTTAAAAGTTTAATTCCTTTATGTTGTCTTAATTTCTATAGGCAGGCATTCCAATACTGTTTTGAGCAATACCGAATACTGTTTTGGGTAGAGTGGACATTCTTCCTTCTGCCTAATCTTGAGAAGGTTTTCATAACAGAAAGCAAGGCACCAAAGCGGGGGCCAGTACCTGGATTACCCTGGGCTCTAGAACAGGACTGGGGAGGAAAGAGACCCAGTGGGCGGAGGCATCAGTGCAGGGGTGGGGTCTCCAGACACCTGGTGGGGAAGAACGCTGGGGAACTATACATCTTAGCAATTCTTAGAAGGAAAAAGACAGATGCAAACTACATTAATGAAACCTAAAAGGGTGCCTGTCAGGGAGGCAGGCTGAGGGTCAGAGGGACACTGGACGTGGGTGGAGGGAGTGAACACCAGTGATGAGATAGGTGCTGGAAAATTCCATGCCTGAAACTATAAATAACCTTGTAAATCACAAAGCTTAAGTAGAAAAATAAATCATTTATTTTTTGAAAAGGAGGGTTATTAGTTTCTCACTGTTGAGCCTGATTTAGCTGTGGGTTTGCTGAACATGACCTTTGTAGTAGTTAGGCAGATTCCTATCCTCACCTGGCTGACTTTTTATAGCAGTGAATGAGTGTTAAATCTTATTAAAATCTTTCTGTATTTAACAGCATGATTCTCATCTTTCCTTCTGCTGATATGGTCTATCACACTAATTGGTGTATACTGAGCCGTCCTTGCATCCCTGAAGTGAATCTCTCTTGATATGGTGTATGATCCTTTTGATACATGGCTGGATTCAGCTCACTGATATTTTGTTGGGTATCTCTGCATCTATGTTCATCAGACACTGGCTGGCAGTTTTCAATTCCAGTCTCTGCTACTCTTGATCTGAGGGTAATGTTGGTCTTGTAAAAGCTGTTAGGAAGACTCCTGCCTATTCCTTTGATTTTCTGTAAGAGTGTGAGACGAACAGGTCCTCTTAGCAACTCAGCAGTAGCCACTAGAAAACACAGCTGGTAACTGGTCTGCCCCAGTTTACATTTCTTCCTGCCTCAGTGTTGGGAGGCTGCACGTATCTGAAAATTCAACGGCTCCTTCTGGGTTGTCTGGGTCAGTGGCTAAAACTTCTGATATTTTGTTTCTAAGTTCTCTGTTAGTCTTTTTTCCTTTTCATTTCTGATCTGATTACTTGGTATTTTCTTTTTCCTTATTTACTCCTTTGGGGGTTCTCCTTTGAGAATCCAGATCTTGGTGGGTCTCGTCCCTAACCTGGCAGTTTGACTTAGAGACAGTGTTGGAATTGATTTGCTGTCTACGATTTTTGGCTAACAGCTGCTGCTGCATCATTTCTATAGCTTGAAATGAAGTTTTATTCTGGATGCCTACTTCTGAGTGCCCCTTGCTTGAGGATGTGAAGTTGACCCATAAGCTCAGCTGCCTGCTTCCCAGGATAGACGCAATTACTCTCCAGTAACCTGGAGCTTCTGGTGAAGTGGTAATTTCACATTTCGACCATTTTGCATCTCATTTGCATCATATTGTTGGAGGTTTAATTACCAACCTGTGAGATGCTTTGACTGCCGTGACGTGGGGGTGAGAGAGGAGATTTCAGCGTGGAGGCTGAAGTGAGTGGTTAACTCATGAGTGAATATTTTCTTACTAATTTGCTACTTGATTCAGCTTCATGAGAGCAAGAACCCAGATAATGACGAGTGTTTTAAGAGCATCCTGTGTTACTGCTGTCTTCTGCGCCTTCCCTCATGGCGCATCTTTCAGAGCACCTGGGGTGGACACCAAGGCCCACCTGTCCCGTATGGCGCGGAAGTCCTGCACTGTTCCCCTTAGTGCATATGACAGCTAAAATATTGGCCACGACTGCAGACAACTCAAATAAAACCACCCTGAGCCCCGGTGCCCACAGGCCTCTCAGCACAGCTCAGCCCCCTTTAGATGAACCCAAGCCAAGCCTCGTCCTCAGATGCCCTTATCACACACAGCGCCCCTGTGGACATGTTTACCACAGAAATCAGTGAAGCATCTTCCCTGTCCCTCCCTGACCACCCTCCCCCCACCCCCCCCCCCCCCGGCAGCCCCCTGTTGAGCAGACTGCCGTATCTACAAACCACAGCATGGTCCTGCCGTGTCCAGACTCAGACCCAGCCTGGCCATCTTGTCAGGTCTGTCGCTGAACCCACAGTTCTGCTGCCGCGGACCCCCCACTACCCTCTTCTGGGCACAGTTTCCTTAAAGAACCCTTTCTTCAGACCCAAGCTCCCGTTGCTCTGCTCAACAGCAACTTCCCGAACTCAGAACACACCCAAGTCTGAGACGCATCTGAGTCAGAAAACACCCTAGGAGGGGCGATGCACAGAAGGACTGTAAGCCCTGCCGCGGGGTGGGCCCTCGGCGCGGGGCCCCGTGCCCCATGCTGGGCCGCCCTCCCTCACAGACCCAGACGGCACCAACCTGAGGGTCCCACTTCCTCTGCAGAGTGCAGCATCTGATAATACCTCCCCTCAGCATGCTCACTCCCACAGCCTCGCCTCCCACAGTCTCGCCTCCCCTCTATCCTGCTCACCTCCTCAGCCTGCTACCCTCCCCCCCCAGCCTGCTCCCCTCACTGGGTTTCTGATGAGGCCCAGGATGACCCCTCCACTGGGCACTCACTTCCGGGAGCCCAGGAGCAGTGGGCACCTCTCCTGAGTCCCAAGCCTGGGGCACATCTGCAGACCCTGTCTCCTGCATGTGCCAGCACCAGCACTTGCTTAGTGAAGAACCTGTGAACCTCAGGTGGCAGGGGCCAGCGGCCAGGAGAGATCAGGCTACGGGCCACAGGGAGGCCACGTGGGGCCAGGACACACACACATGGACACACACATATGGACAGACACACACACACACACACACACACACACACACACACACACACACAAGCCCGGGAAGGGTGCTGGGAGTAGCTACGGCCGCAGGAGCCGCACTGCACCAGGACCATGCGAGGTCACCACGTCACCCCCGGGTGCCACGGCTCCTCAGGCTCTGAACTACAGCATCTGTGGGAGGCCAATGGGACCCCGGAACTCTGTGAAAGGTTCATCCGAGACCAGAAACACGACCGTTTCCCAGAAACAAGGAGCCAGACTAGCCCAGGGCCAAGTTTCTCCCTTTGGGGACTTTCTCTCTCGCTTCTCTGAAACAAATGTTTCTGTTTCTAAGCAAGAGTCTGAAGCAGTCGCTTCGCTCTGCCAGGCAGTGTTTTAGCTTTGGTTTTGGATTTGGGCCGCATCCCAGCAGTGCTCTGAGCTCACTCCTGGCCCTGTGCTCAGGGGTCCTCTGGGTGCAGGGGATCGGAACCTGGGTCAGCCCCAAGCAAGTCGAGGCCCCCCTCTGGGACTGCTCTGACCCTGAGCGTTTCATTCTGAAGCTGCTGAGGCGCCCGAGACCCACCCACCAGCAGGGCCCCGACCAGACTCCGCACACAGGGCATTCCTCCCAGACACTGGACATCAAACTGCAAAATGACCCTCAGCCCGTGAAGGACACACCGTCCCGTGCTCCATCCCACGGCCACTCACTCACGCCGGGTCAGCGACCGACTCGCTGACGTGGTTCTCTGCTGCTAGGAGGAACTTACAAGCAAACTGGAGTTTGGCCTCTCTGCTGACCACCGTCCCGAGTGAGTTGGTCGCGAAGCACTGGTAGCTACCTGCATCCCGGTGGCGGTCAGGACCCAGGACCACGAGGTTCCCTCCAAGTAGCTGGTAGCGGTGACGCTGGCTGAGGTCCACGTCGGTGCCGTTCAGCTGCCACCTAGAAGCACGGCAGGAGGGGAGTGTGGAGCACTCCTGCCCTCACCTGGGCACACCTAGATCTCACCTGCACTGCGCTGCAGGGCACACCTGGCCCTCACCTCACCTCTTCTGCAGGGCACACCTGGTCTCACCTCAGCTCTCCTGCAGGGCACACCTGGCCCTCACCTCACCTCTCCTGCAGGGCACACCTGGCCTCACCTCAGCTCTCCTGCAGGGCACACCTGGCCCTCACCTCACCTCTCCTGCAGGGCACACCTGGCCCTCACCTCACCTCTCCTGCAGGGCACACCTGGCCTCACCTCAGCTCTTCTGCAGGGCACACCTGGCCCTCACCTCAGCTCTCCTGCAGGGCACACCTGGCCCTCACCTCACCTCTCCTGCAGGGCACACCTGGCCTCACCTCACCCCTCTTGCAGGGCACACCTGGCCTCACCTGCATCTCACCTCACGTTCCCCCAGTGAGGGCAGTGGCTACCTGTCCCCACCTCAGCAGACCTGGCAAGCCCCAGTGTCCGCTGTACCCTAAGCGGGGATCTTGAGTGGAAGCCACAAGGAGCAGAGAAGGAATCACACATTAGCTTCCAGGGAGGCAGCTGTGGGCAGAATTCCCCAGCGCCTTCAGGCCACCCCTGGACAGGCAGAGCACACTTGGGTATGGACCAGTCTGGCTGGACTTTTCTTTATTGCCACAGATCCCTGGTCTGTCCCCAGATTTGATGCCCAGCACACACTCCCCAACCAGCGGCCATATATTAGGGTTTGGGTGTTAAAGTCTTAGCCCCACCTAGAGAAGCCCGGAGACAGAGACAGGGCTACCTGAGGAAAGCTGACAGGAAGCCCAGAGACAGAGATGGGGTGCCTGAGGAAAGGTGACAGGAAGCCCGGAGACAAAAAGGGGGATGCCCAGGGAAAGCTGACAGGAAGCCCAGAGACAGAGACGGCAGTGCCTGAGGAAAGCGGACAGGAAGCCCAGAGACAGAGACGGGGTGCCTGAGGAAAGTTGACTGGAAGCCCAGAGACAGAGATGGGGATGCCCAGGGAAAGCTGACAGGAAGCCCAGAGACAGAGATGGGGTGCCTGAGGAAAGCTGACAGGAAGCCCGGAGACAGAAACGGGGATGCCCAGGGAAAGCTGACAGGAAGCCCAGAGACAGAGACGGGGTGCCTGAGGAAAGCTTCTGGAAGTCCAGAGACAGAGACGGGGGTGCCTGAGGAAAGCTGACAGGGACCCCAGAGATAGAGATGGGGTGCCTGAGGAAAGTTGACTGGAAGCCCAGAGACAGAGACGGGGGTGCCCAGGGAATGCTGACAGGAAGCCCAGAGACAGAGATGGGGGTGCCCAGGGAAAGCTGACAGGAAGCCCAGAGACAGAGACGGGGGTGCCTGAGGAAAGTTGATTGGATGCCCAGAGACAGAGACGGGGTGCCCAGAGAAAGCTGACAGGAAGCCCAGAGACAGAGACGGGGGTGCCCAGGGAAAGCTGACTGGAAGCCCAGAGACAGAGACGGGGGTGCCCAGGGAAAGCTGACAGGAAGCCCAGAGACAGAGACGGGGGTGCCCAGAGAAAGCTGACAGGAAGCACAACAGTGCGCCTCGACTGTCTGCAACAACCAAAGCTCCTTCCTGGTAGAGACCCAGCATGGGACACTGCATGTTTCGTCCGCAGTGGCCCAGACCCCATGGGACACTGTCTGCAGTTGCCCAGACTCAGTGGCTCTCTCTCTGCAGTGGCTCAGAACCTACGGGGGATGCTCTCCGTCTGTCTGTGGAGGTGACTTGGGGAATACAGAGCTTGCAAGCATTAGTAAGAGCCTGTTTGCTCCAAGGAATAAATATAAAATAAGAAAATAAATTTTTAAATTTTAGAAATCCGATTCGTGGTGGGGCCTGGAGCCCAGGCAGGGCGCCCTGACCTGTGAGAGGCCTGAATCCGCCCTGGCACCACCTGGCCCTGAGCAGAATTGTGCATATGTGCACATACAAGCACACTCAGACATGCATATACTCACATGTGCATGCGTACACACATGCACACATGCACACAGCAACAGGTGCACACAGGTGGTGCATTCATGCATACTCACACATGAACACATATGTGCATACTCACCGATGCTCTCATAATATTCATACGTGGACGCAGGCTCACACGTGCACGTATACACACTCACATGTGTGCTCAGACACTCAGCCCATTGTCTCCCTCACCCAGCTCAGCCCGTCTGTCTCCATGTATCTACGTGTCCCTTGCATGACTCAACCCTCTCACATGTCTCAGTCCATCTGTGTTTTCCCTGCGTGACTCAGCCCACCCACTTTTCTCTTACACAGCTCAGCTCGTCTGTGTGTCCCTTGCATGGCTCTGCCTGTTTCTCCTGTGGCTCATCCTCGTCTCTGCCGCGTGCCTCGCGCTGGAGCTCAGAAACGTCCAGTGGAGCAAGTGCCCAAGGACGCCGGCTCTCACTGTCCTCAGGGCAAGCACCTGTGTGAGGTGCTGAGTGAGGTGTGAGCCTGCGGGGGAGCCTCGCTGCTCAGGCTACAGCCAGCGGCCAGAGAAGACCCTGGGTAGCCAGGGAGGGACCCACCTCAGCCCACAGCCACCCTCCTGGGGCCCCCACGGGCTCCCCCAAAGTGCACACGAGAGAGAGGAGAGAGCAGGAGTCACCTGCGAGGCTCCAGTCTTGAATGGAGAGAACAAAATAACTTCTGGAACATTCAGGGCTGCACTGGGTGGGGCCACCCCACTAACCCATCGTCAGGCCGTGCCCGATTCAGGAGGTGACAGGGAAACTAGGAACTTAATCACTGAAGCAATTTGTGGTTCCAGATGAGGCTTTCGCGTTAAGGAGCAAACGCGTTTGTGTTTTGCTGCAGTATCTGCTAATATGTTGACTGCAGTGATGAGAGTGATCGCGATCCTTCAAGAAAGGACGCCTCCATCTGCATACTCGGTATTTCATCCAAAAATCACTGGCCAGGCTTCAGGAATAATCGCTGAAGACGGAAATGAATCAACTCGCGAGGCTGTTTTTAAAAACGGGACTTTAGTGATCTGTGTTGTGTCAGATTCCATCTCCTCACACCGGGTGTGAGATTGGGCCAGCGGCAGAGGCCACGGCGGGCCGACCCTGTCCTGTGGCCCCAGCCGGGCACTCGCCTCCACTCGGCTCCTTCTCTAGGGCCCTCGCCATGGTTCACGGAAACAGAATCCAATTAAAGGGCAGGATTTTCTCCCACACACAGACGTGAGCCGCCGGGTCCAGGGAAGCCGCTGATGAGTGGACACCGGCTGTCCACGGCCAGGCTGAGCGGGTCCTCTGTGGTGGCGCAGGCAGCCTGTGTGCCTGGCGGGTGGGCGCCGCCACAGCCACTCACGGTGAGTCACTGAAGGGTGATGTCCCTTCAGCCGCTGATGGCCCTGGGAGAAGCAGCAGGAACACTCCTGGCCGGCCTCTCATCCTGCGAAGGGCAGAAACCCTGACCACAGACGTGGCAGGACCTCCTCCTCCAGGAGGGCCTCCAAGCTCCCGCTGTGTGGGCACATCCAGGGACAGGCTGAGGCCGATGTTAATTAAACTCCCAACACAGGCCCGGCCTCAGGCAGGAGGTGCCGTGAGAGAAGAACATTCTCCATTAAACCCAGTGACGAGCGACTCTCTTGAGGATTTCTGAACCTGGGTTTCTCAAGAGCCAGTTCAGAGCTGTTCTTACGCCAAGGGTCAACAGCAGAGGCGAGGCCTGCCTCAGCCTGCAGGGTGGGCTTCCATGGCTTGCCAGACCCTCAGCTCTGTCCTAAGCCTCGGGAGCAGGACTGACTCCCTTTAACGCGAGGTTTCCAACAACCCCTAACTGCCCTTCGCAGCCCACGCATCCTCCTTCCACTCATCCTCACCGGCTGCCACCTGTCAGCCAAACACCTCCCAGCACCCGCCAGACTGCTGACGCTTACCACAGTGACCCAAACCCCTTTTCCTCCCTTGGAAACTGCCACAGTTGTTCTTTCTGGGCTTGGTACTGCCCACAGCCGCCCTACGTATCTGGGTTTGGAGCATCGTGGAATGAAAGGCCGGCACAGTCCTCCTGGGGTTTAAGGGTGACAGGGACACCTGCCTCCCGGCTGTCCGATTCCCCGCGGCAGACACAATCTCAGACACTGTCCCCACCTGCTCTCCCTCCACAGGTGCCATGGGCTGGGCTGCGGTGTGGTGCAGAGGCCGGGGGCTCGCACATAAACGGGGGCCAGTGTTGCTCTAGGTGGCCAGGGAGAGCTATCAGGTGGGTGGGCAGTGGGCAGTTGGGCATCCTGAGAGCTGGTGCCCTCTGCCAGGCTGCCCGGGCTGCACATACGTGGGGGCAGCAAGATCGTCCCTTGTCAGACCAAGTGGACGCCCCCATTTTGGGAGGAAAAGGTGCCCCCAACAGTGCCGTGCGTTAGGGAATCAGGAGAGTGAGTCCGAGGCAGTCTGGCCCTCCACTGCTGCCTGTCCCAGGGGAGATTCTCCACTGCCCTGTGGCCTCCAGCCAGTGTCCTGTGGGCCTGGCTGTGGCCACTTTATTGATTTCCACAGGAAAGGGCACAGCAGTGACCACTCCTGGTGCTGAGCAGGCCCAGGGACAAGGCCAGGGTCTGGCCCCTGGGGCTTCCGGGGAAGGAGGATGCAGCTGCTGCCCAGCAGTAGGATGGGCACGGGCCCACGCGGACAGGACAGGTGTGAGAGGCAGCTGGGTTTCCTCAGGATCCCACAGGCCTCTGTTAGCAGCCGGCGGGGCCGACTTGAGCCCTGAGCAGACCCTGGCAAGGCAGCTCCCGCCTGGGTCTCGGCGGGTGTGAGACCTTCCGGGAGCTGCTCCTAGCTAATGCATTTCCTCCCAGGCGAAGGCTGCTCACCCTGGGCTAAGGCAGTCAATCCCACAGCCACCCAACAACCCATATCACCCAAACAACCCACATCACTCAAACAACCCACATTCACCCAAACAACCCACATCACCCAAACAA